GGAAAGAAACTGAGAGTTTCATAAGGGAGGTGGGGGTGGTGGGGATGAGCTCGCCCAGTGATGGGTATTAAGGAAGACATGTATTACATGGAGCACTGGATGTTATATGCAAACAATGAATCATGGAACACTACATCAAAAACTAATAATGTACTGTATGGTGACTAACAACATAATATAATGAAATAAAATAAAACGTGGAGGAAGAAATTTTTAAAATCCCAAATAAACCATCTGACTCTGTACCTAAAGTAACTTAAAAAAGAGGAACAAAGCCCAACATTAGTAAAGGGAAGGAAATAATAAAGACCAGAGTGGAAATAAATGAAATAGAGATGGTGGGGGCGGGGAGAAGAAGAAGAAGAAGAGATAATAAAAGTAAGAGCTTTTTCTTTTTTTTAAAGATTTTTAAAAATTTATTTGTCAGAGAGTACAAGCAGGGGGAGCAACAGGCAGAGAGAGAAGCAGGCTCCCCACTGAGCAGGAAGCCTGATGCAGGATTTGATCCCAGGGACCTGTGATCATAACCTGAGCTGAAGGTAGACACTTAATTGACTGTGCTACCCAGGCATCCCAAGAGCTGGTTCTTTGAAAAAATCAATGAAATCAACAGCCAAACTCAAGAGAAAAAGGGAGAGGACCCAAATAAATAAAATCAGAAATGAAGGAAAAGTTACAACAAATACCACAGAAATACAAAGGCTAAGACATTACTACAATTATACACCAACAAATTGGAAAACTTAAAAGAAATGGATAAATTCCTAGAAATACATAATCTTCCAAGGCTGAAACACACACACACACACACAAATAGAAAATCTGAATAGACCAATTACAAGTAATAAAATTGAAACAGTTATTTTGAAACTCCAAAACAACAGAAGTCCAGGACCAGACGGCTTCATGGCTTAATTCTACCAAATATTTAGAGAAGAGTTAGTACCTATTCTCAAATTATTCCAAAAGACTGAAGAGGAAGGAAGTCTTCCAAACTTATTTTACAAGGTCACATTACCCTGTTACCAAAACCAAAGATACCACAAGAAAGAAAATTACAGACCAATATATCTGATAATATAGATGTAAAAATCCTAACAAAATATTAGCAAAAAAAATTCAATGATACATTAAAAAGATCATACACCACAATCAAGTGAAATTTATTCCAGAGATGCAAGGATGGTTCCACACCCACAAATTAATCAGTGTGATACCTCACATTAACAAAACAAAGGATAAAAATCATATGATCATCTTAATAGGTGCAGAAAAAGCATCTGAGAAAATTCAACGTTAGTTTATGATAAGAAAAAAAACTCAACAAAGTAGGTATAGAAGGAATGTATCTCAGCATAACAAAGGCCATATATGACAAGCCCACAGCTACCATCATACTCAACAGTGAAAAGCTTTCAGCATTTCCTGTAGGATCAGGAATAAGACAAGTATGTCCACTCTCACCACTTTTATTCAACATAGTATCGGAAATCCTAGCCATGGCAATTACGTAAGAAAAAGAAATAAAATTCATCCAAATTGGACAGGAAAAAGTAACACTGGATAGGAAAAAGACATATTTGCAGATGACATGATACTATATAGAGAAAACCCTATATAGAGAAAACCCTAAAGACTCCACCAAAATCTGTTAGAACTAATAAATGAATTCAGCAAAGTCACTGGATACAAAATTAAAATACAGAGATCAGTGTTTCTATACACTAATAACTATAAGAAAAAGAAAGTAAAAAAATAATTTCATTTATAATTGCATCAAAAATAATGAAACACCTATGAGTAAATTTAACCAAAGATGTGAAAGAACTGTACTCTGAATACAGCTTAAACTGTTAAAACTTAAACTAAAAAGGCACCTGGGTGGCTCAGTCGGTTAAGTGTCTGTCTTCAGCTCAGGTTAGGATCTCAGCGTCCTGGGATCAAGCCTCACATCAGGCTCCCTGCTCAGCAAGGAGTCTGCTTCTCCCTCTCCCTTTGTACCTCCCCTTGCTTGTGTGCTCTCTCTCTCCCTCTCTCAAATAGATAAATAAAATCTTTATTAAAAAAAGACATTGATGAAAGAAATTGAAGACATGAATAAATGGAAAGATATTTTGTGCTCATGGATTAGAAGAATTAATATTTTAAATGTCCATACTACCGAAACAATCTACAGATTCAGTGTAATCCCTATCAAAATTCCAATGACATTTTTAACAGAACTACAACTCAAAATGTGTATGGAACCACCAAAAAAATTCAAAAGCCAGAGCAATCTTGAAAAAGAACAAAACTGGAGGTATCATGCTCCATGATTTCAAACTATACTACAAAGCTATATTAATCAAAACAGTATGGTACTGGCATGAACACAGACACATAGATCAATGGAACACACTACAGAACCCAAGAAAAGACCCACACAAATAGAGTCAATTAACCTGTGACAAAAGAGGCAAGAATATACAATGAGGAAGTCTCTTCAATAAATAGTGTTGGGGATATTGGACAGTTACCTGCAAAAGAACAAAACTGGACCACTATCTTACACCATATGCAAAAATACACAAAAATTAAATGTACTGAAGACTTCAATGTAAGACTTGAAACCATAAAACTTCTAGGAGAAAATATAGGCAGCAAGTTTTTTGACATCGGTCTTAGCAATATTTTTAGACCCGTCTCCGCAGGCAAGGACAAAAAGCTAAAATAAACAAATGAGATTACATCAAACTAAAGTTTCACACAGCGAAGGAAACCAACATAATGAAAAGACAACTTACTAAATGGGAGAAGGGTTGGTAGGGTTTGTTCCTCCCAGAGGAACAAACAAAGGAAAAAGCTGTTCTGTGCTTCTAGTGGGGCCCAGCTGTGCTTGGCATTCCTTGGCCATAGTGATATCACTCCAGTCTCTGCCTCCATCTTCACATGGCCTTCTTCCCTTGTGTGTCTCTGTGCGTCTTCTCCTCTTCTTATGCAGACACCAGTAGTATGGGATGTAGGGCCCACTGTAATAAATCTTAACTGATAACATCTGCAAAGACCCTACATGCTAAGGCCACATGCTAAGGTTCCACGTGGACAGGAATTTGGTGGGAACACTTTTCGACTCACTACAGAAGATAAACACATTTGAGCATTACTTTAATTAGGACTCTTTCATCGCATATGTCAGAAACCACTAACTACCTTAACCAGGAAGGGAATTTAACCATGCAGGATTGCCTCCATAACTCAATTGCCCAGGATCATCCTCTGGTGCCAGGTACTGTTTGGATCCGACAGAAGACTCAGGAGTCCATCACTCTCCCTCCATTGCTACCTCTGCTTCCTTCTGTTGGGATCCTCTCCAGTGTGGCCACAGGGCAGATTTCACCTCAGACAGTCTAAAACCAGAGCTCTCAACCGTACTGCTTGCCCTGTGTAATAGCAGTAAACACCCCTGTATTGGTTTCCTATGGCTGTGGAACCAATTATCACAAATTCTTTTGTTTGAACAACACCTAGTTGCTAGCCCACAGTTCTGTAGGTCATGGGTCTAGCTGTGGAGTAGCTGAGTTCTCTGCTAGGGGTCTTAAAATGCCAAAATCAGGATACTGATCAGGATGTGCCCTCTTCCAGAGGCTCCCAGCTCATTCAGGATTTTGGAGGAATTCATGTCTTGCCATTGTAGGGCTGGCTCTCAGGTGGGGACCACTGAGCCCCCAGAGGCTGCCTCTCTCCATTCAGTTCACAGCATTGGTGTGTGCTTTCTCCCAGGCCACAGCAGTCCCCTCTCACTCCTCTGCTCCCAACTGGGGACAACTTCCTACTTTTATCTTTTGACTTCCTTCATGTAGTACTTTTTTATTCATTTTGTTTTTATTTTGTATTGAAGTATAATTGACATATAACATTAGTTTCAGATGTACAACATAATAATCCATATTTGTATATATTAAGAAAAGGTCACCACAGTAAATCTGATTAATGTCCGTCACCATATATAGTTACAATTTTGTGTGTGATGAGAACTTTTAAGACTTACTCTGTTGGCAACTATCAAACATGCAGTATGGTTTTATTAACCATAGTCGTCATGCTGTACATTGCATCCCATGATTTACTTATTTTCTAACTGGAATTTGCACCTGAGAACTCTCTACTTTTAAAGAGTTCATGTGATTAGGTCAGGTCCACCTAGATAATCTCCCCATCTTAAGGCGATCTAATCATAAGGGTAAAAATCCATCGTAGTCCAGGGACCTTGGACACACCAAGGACAATGTAGGGTGTATATAGATCAGTGCTGGTGGGAGATAGCTCTGGGGGTCTTAGACTACTGCCCACCACACCTTTTCTTACAGCTGCTATACCACCACTGTCCCAGAGGCTGCACAGAATAGGCATCAATTTAAGTGATAAAAACTGGAGAAAGCAGACCCAGAGAAGCTCCAAAACAGAACCCAGTGTGTTTTGATTCCTGCTTCTACACTGAGGTTTTGCCACCTGTTCCCCACAGGAGACATAGCAAAGAGCTTTGACACTAAGGTCCCCCTGTGTATGGATGCTTTGTTTGGGGGAAATTTTGATCACCCATGGAGCCCCGTGAGAAGTGCCATGCACAGAGCAGCCCCTCTTGCTCTCCAGCAGGTGGCCGTTGAGCTCAGGTGAGCCAGGAGGTCTGGTCCTCCCCAAGGGCCACTCACAAGGAAGGAGCATGTGGGGATGAAGGATTGCCACTGGCGGACGGAGCAGCAGGCAGGGAGGAAGGGAAAAGGGATGGCACTGGACAGGGAATGGAGGGAGGGGGAGTAAAGCATGAAGAGCAATACAAAGAAAAAGAAGATGGAGGTGACATTCGGCAGACTGGAGAAAAAGAAAGTGAAGCTGATGGACCAGGGCTTTCTGTGGAGCTGCAGCTTCTCACTCTGAGCAGGGGTCCCACCCCATGGGTCCCTCTGGAGTGGACCCTCAAGGGGCTGATGACCATTTTCAGCCTCATATCTCCCTCCCCTCAGGGAACCTAGAACAAGCCAATGAGGAGCTGCGGGCCATAATCAAGAAGATCTGGAAGCGGACCAGCATGAAGCTGCTGGACCAAGTGGTGCCCCCAGCGGGTGGTGAGTACTCCCAGGATCTCCACACCCATGACTCTTGCCTGGTTCCTGAGTCCATGAGGCTCATGGGAAGCCTGCTTTCCCCACCTCACTCCGCCTCTCCTGTGCCCTATTGGTTGGAAGGACTGAGGGTGCCACACTTTCACAAACTCAGATACAGGATATCAGGCTGGAAACCTGGTCCAATCATAACATTTCGTAGACCAGACAAGGCCCCTTGATGCTTAGAAGTTTGGCAGAATTTCCAAGGAAACTCTGCAAAGTATAGGTTTCCCCCGTAAATTAGTAGGCTGGTTTCTCTGGAAGTAATGGGGACCTGGAAAAAGAATCCCCTGAGATCCCCTCTTGGTTGAATTCTTTTTGTTTTATCTAGAGTAGTGTTTCTCTACCCTCTCAAACCCTGAACCCCCTTTCATAGCAAATAGTTTATAATGCCCCTACTATTATCCTAAATGAAAATAACTTTCCTACAGATATAATTTCCAAAATATTAATATAACACTTTAACTTGGGACACCTGGGTGGCTCAGTCAGTTAAGAGTCTGCCTTTGGCTCACGTCATGATTCCAGGGTCCTGGGATCGAGCCCCACTTCAGGCTCCCTGCTCCCCCTCCCACCTATGCTCTCTCTCTTTCTCTCTCTCAACTAAATAAATAAAATCTTTAAAGTATATATATATAAAACACTTTAATATAAAATACATTAAAGTCAAATATTTTTCAATATATATACGCTCAGGCACTATGGGTTATGGCACTGTGCCAGAAGTTATAGTTAACTGATAAAATACTTTCATGCATGCACTTATGATGAATAAGTTTGTGTTTAAAGGAACTAAGACAATATTGACTATTGTTGACATTTTGTATTTGTCATTTTGAAGTAAGGGATAACTAAATATATTAAATAATATACACATGTGTATGTATACATACGTACATGCACAAACATAGAACAAATACAGACTAATATAAGCATGTCAGATGCAACAGGTGACTCAGATACCACAAGGGGCATTGCCATCAGGGATTCAATTTTCCAAAATGTAAAGCCCTCTTGGTCAAGTGCAAACAAAGCAAAATATGGTTTCCTGTCAATTTACCTAGCAGTTATATACCTGGGAAATTCTGGATATATTAAAACCAGGCAAAAAAAATATTATTTTATGTTCATATGTAAAATGAAGTTAGGTTCTTAGCTCAGGTAATTATAAACAGGTCCTTTCCCCACATGGACATCTAGCCGAGTGCAGATGAATGCAAAACGTGCCTGTGTTTTAAGGGACACATCTGGAACCACCCAATGCCTGTAGCACACTGGGACAACAAGGAAAGTCCCCACATTCCCAAAACACTCCTTAAAATGGGACACCAGCCCTGTTGAGAATCACTTCCCAAAGGCAAGCAGCCCAGGGAAAAGTCACCTAGACGGGCCAAGCCCCATGAGATGTTTTGCATACCTTATTTAATTCTTATAACATTGCTGTGAAGTTTGCTCAAGAAACTGAAGTTCTTAGAAGCTATGTAGCTGACCCAAGGCTATAGGGTGAGTACCGAGTACCTGGCAGATTCAAAATTCAAACCCAGGTCTGGGGACACCAGAACGCCAGGCTTTTTCTGCCCTGCAGCTCTTGCTGACTGGCTACCCTAGACGGGGGACTCGGGTTTCCTCTCCCACATGGGAATGATGTGTTTGCCAGGTGGAAGGTCACCACTGCTGTGGACTTGGCTATTCTTAAGGGACAGCTAGAAGTAGGAGAATCATCACAGGCCCCTATGCCTAACCTACCAGCTGTCTCCTGGGGCCATTTCCCTCAGAAGAAGAAGATGGAACCAAGAGGCAATGTTCTCCTTGGAGACTCTTCGGTTTCTCCACCACCTGGTTCATTCCCAACACAGAGGCTGACTATGTCATGTGTAACTTGGGAGTCTAGCCCAGCAGGGACCCAGCCAAACCACATGGTAAGAAAACCCAATCTGTCTGGTTGAAAACGAAACCCAAACTTAGAGAAGAAAGGTGTTCCTTCCACCAAACTCCATCTTAAACCAGAACTGTTTGCACTTAGGGGACTGATCAATTTATGATGGGCACCTCAAGAGTTGGAATCAAATAAAAATTAGTTAGCAATGTCAGGTTTTTTGGGTTGTTGTTTTTTGTTGTTTTTGTTTTTTTTTTTTTTACTTTGTAAAGCTACTTTTAAAGCAAGGTGGGAAATAATTTTGATAATAGGCTGCTTCTACTGTTAAAAAAAAAAAAGAGGAGCTAAGAATATCTTTGCTTATTTGCAGAAAGCATTTGCAGAAAGACTCTCTGGAAAAATATTCCAGAAGCTAATTTTAGAAAGGTTATCTATTAAAAGGTAGTAACTTAGCAGATGGAGGAGGGGTGAGAGAGAGACTTTTCACTGTACGCCTTGTAATATATTTTTGCCTTTCTGAGCCATGTGAATGGCTTTAAAAAAAAAAAACTTTAAAAAAAGTTTAAAAAACTTTAGAAAACTTTGATGCTGGGGGAAAAAAAAGTGAATGAAGCCCAGCTGAATTCTCCCCTTTACCTCCCTTCTGTCTTCTCTTCTCCTGTCTCAGATGACGAGGTCACAGTTGGCAAGTTTTATGCTACTTTCCTGATCCAAGAGTACTTCCGGAAATTCAAGAAGCGCAAAGAGCAGGGCCTGGTGGGCAAACCCTCCCAGAGGAACGCCCTATCCCTGCAGGTAAAGGGCAAGAAGGGGGGTCCACACAATAAGGAAGGGCTTGGTCACCTTCTTCTGACATCAGGCCTGGGATTAAGTCTCTCATCAGTGGGTTGGAGGCCAGTTCCCTCCAGAAGGAAACTTTCGGAGAGTTCCAGGCCTTTCTAAATGTGTGTGTGTGTGAGGGGGCGACACACTGCCTCCCACACACTCTGCCTTCCCTAGTCCTGCCTGCTTCACAGCCCCTTCTAACAGGCCTTTAGGCTTCCTGGGTGGAGAAATGGATTCTCGAAGTCTGGCACAGATAAGACCTTGGCAGGCTTGCCTGCCTTACGGAGAGGCTGTGGGTCAAGCAGCTGGGTGTCCCTCTGGGTTTCAGGCTGGCTTGCGCACGCTGCATGACATCGGGCCTGAGATCCGACGGGCCATCTCTGGAGATCTGACGGCTGAGGAGGAGCTGGACAAGGCCATGAAGGAAGCTGTGTCTGCTGCCTCTGAAGATGACATCTTCCGGGTAGGTGGACACCGCAGGAGCACTCTCTTACCTTTACAAGTCCAGCTGGAGGCAAGAGGGTGGGCTGGCGTTCTGCCAAGAGAATCCAGGAAGAAAGTCCTGAGTTCTCTGGCAGATTCCAAGCTCTTCAACTCTACTTCCCATACCTCTACCTTCTCCAAGTCTGACTCTATCTCAAGCTTGGGCTCTCGGGACATGGCAGCTCCCAGAGGGTCACTGGCTCTCAGGGAAAGGGGGAAAGAGCCATTTTCTTAAGGGACATGTTCCCTAGGAGAACCCTCTACAGTAGAAACTGCAAAGCCATGGGGCCCCTTTCGGCCACATCTAACCTACAGACCTATTTTGTTTGCCAACATTCAGAAATATGGCACGTTCAACTAAAAACCTAGACCTTTGACTTCTCTTTAAAAAATCAGAGACTCTGGCTTATGTTCCCATGTGGCAGCAGGGGAGTGGAGCCCAGGGGCAACTGTCTTCTTGAGAGAAAGCCTGTGTTTTCCCAGTCACAAAAGTCCCCTCCGACCTTACTTCCCTCTCCTTTCCTGGCTATGGAGGCTGAGTATCCATTCTCAGTGGACCCCAAACCTGACTCTGCCAGAATAGTGCAATGCTTGTATCCCGCTCTCTCCATTCAGTCGTCCCTGCTTATCCCCGAAGGTATTTGGCTAAAATCCCTCCAGAGGGAGAAGCCACCAAGCAGTATCACGCTGGGGGCCCTCTCAGCTGCCCCTGCCAGCCCCCACACAGGGGTCCTGAGCTGCGGAGGGAGGACGGCCTGCCCTGCCTGTGGCTGCCCTGTCATCACCATCCTCATCCTCATCACTGTGAAATGTCTGTCACCGAATGGCCTCAGGGACACAGCACCAGGCTAACACTGCCCCAGCAAGACCCCACAGACCAACTTACAGATAGCAACGTGTCCACTTGCTCCAGGACAAGGAAACAATGTTGGGGAAAAACACTGGGTCCTGATTTGAAATCTCTAAGAATCGCCCCGGAGGAAAGAAGCCCATAATATAATTAAAGGAGTCAATGCCTCATCCTTATTTCCAAAAACCTTTTGGCCAATGTCATTTCTAGTTCAGTGAGCCAGTTGGACCTCCATTTTTTAAAATTCTCGTTAGAATCTCCTGGTCAAGCTGCCAAGCAGAGCAAGGGCTGCGGCCAAGGATTGCCATCCTGTGCTGCTCCTGGAGACTCGATCCCAGTCCTCAGGGGGTTCATTAGAAAGTCCCAGGGCAGCAGCCTTCCTGGCTGACTGGTGCTGCCCCTCACCCGTCCCCCAGCAGAGTCAGAGGGGACTGTCCAGGTCCCTCCCTCTCCAGCTTCCAGGCCACGTGGGTGAGGAGTTCCCCGTGGGCCGTGTGTCGCTGCCCGGAGTGGCTGCACTCTCTGGAAGGCGGACAACCTTCCGTGGCTTGGCCTAGAGAAGGAGAGGTAGCCGACAGGGCTTTCTCCTCCATCCACCCCTCCTGTCTCGCCTACAGAGGGCCGGTGGCCTGTTCGGCAACCACGTCAGCTACTACCAAAGTGACGGCCGGAACGCCTTCCCCCAGACCTTCACCACCCAGCGTCCACTGCACATCAACAAGGCGGCTAACAGCCAAGGCGACACCGAGTCGCCATCCCACGAGAAACTGGTGGACTCCACTTTCACCCCCAGCAGCTACTCATCCACTGGCTCCAACGCCAACATCAACAATGCCAACAACACTGCCCTGGGCCGCTTCCCCCGCCCCGCTGGTTACCCCAGCGCAGTCAGCACTGTGGAGGGCCACGGGCCCCCCTTGTCTCCTGCAGTCCGGGTACAGGAGGCCACATGGAAGCTCAGCTCCAAGAGGTAAGCGGGAGGGTGGGGCACCAGGGTCCGTGCACAGGGGCCCCACATGCTCCAGCCCTGAGTAGATGGGGGGGTGGAGTTTGGCCCACAGGCCTACCACTCACCCCCTCAAGCCGGGCTGGAGGCTGCGGCCCCAGACCCCATCAAGAGATAGGCCAATGCTGCCTCCCATTCTTGCCCTTGATTACCTATGGCAGCCATACCTGGGGAAGGCAGCACAGCCCTGATGGCCATCCAGTGTCCTGACCACACCTCTGGACAGAGCCTCTTATGCTCTTTCTGTTACCCAAGCAGAGGAGCCCAGACCCCTGACCCCCAGCATCCTGGCAACACAACAGACTGTTCCCCCGGCCTTTCCCACATCTGCACAAACCTGGCCTTTGACTTAGCTGGGATGGGACTGGAGCTACCACATCTTCTTCACTCCCTTCTCCACCCTCTTGGGAGGAACACTTCGGTGGTGGGAGGCCCTTCACCATAGCTCTTGCCCACTCTGCCCCAGTGCGGGATCGTTCCTGGTAGTTTGCTCTCCCACTGCCTGATGCATGCTTTTCTCCCTACCTTCTGCTCCTTGGGGCTCTGGGATCAATTGTTATGGTATACCAGGGTGGTAAGCACCCACGCCCATGCTCTGGGCCTCTGGAAACACAGCATGGGCCTAAAGGATCTCCTCCCTGTTTCTGTCAACAGCTCTGGGTTTCCAAGACCAGGTGGGAGAGGACTTGCCTCCCCACCACCGCTCCCCCTCACCCTTAGTGGACAGCACCCCCACCACAGCAGGCCGGGCAGATCACCCACATGCCATGTTCTTGGGCAAATCTCTCAGGCTCATGACCTTAGAAAATAATCATGATGTGTGAGCATCTTTCTGGACAAGTGTCCTGAAGCTTCTTTCATCTAAGGAGCCTGCCTATCTGCCCCCCGGTTTTCATTTCCCTTCTTAACACCCACTTTCAAGTGGCCCCATGGACACCTGTGTGGCCTGGGCCTTTAACAGTGTCTGATAACAGCCAAGTCCGATTGGCCATCAGTCTACCTCACTGCATGGAAGAATGGCTGGTGAACCCACCCAAAAGCAATGTCGGGTGAGTCTTTCTACTCAAGAGATGTCTACCAAGGCCTTCTATACACAGTACAGCATGCCACCTCTGGATTTTATATGCTGACCTGAAAGGTTAGCTTTGCACAGGGGAGTATCAGAGTTCAAGTGGCTGGCCCACATGTGTCTCAGCAGCCCCTCCCTTTCCCTAAAACCTCCTACAACTCTCAGGCACTCAGTCCTAGTGTCACGTTCTCCCTTGCTCCCCTTATCCAAACCTCTTCTTTAAGAAGGTTCATTGGGTCCATCCTTAGCATCTCAGGGTGAGCTAATACCTCCTTCAGAGAATATTTTTCTCTGAAAATGTGTTCCGTATTTAATGAAGGGAGAGTGGAGGTAGGGAGAAACATCAGGGGATTTTCCTCCTCTCCCCACAGGCACCTCTGTCCCTAAACTGTGGTGCACACCTCCCCCAAGGCCTAGCCCATAGCAAATGCTCCCCGAATATTGGCTCCCTCCTTCCCAGCACAGTGGGTAAAGTGACGCTCAAGGCAGTAAGCTTCAGCTTGGTGAGGACGAACAAGTCAAGCAAAGTTGCAGCTCTGGGGTCTCGGCCTTCGTGCCGCAGCTCAAGGCTAATTGCCAGGGCTCCAGGACCGGCCTTGCTCTTGCTGGAACGAGCCAGCATGTCTTGCACACAGTGGCCCCCAGGAAGTGGTGTTGTCTGCCTGCCGCCGTTCTCTGTCTCCAGCTCATCCCAGTATGCCTCCTCCCAGCACATTTCACTCCCCTCTCTTCCCACCCCATCCACATTCCATCTGTCCTTACTGCAGGATGGGCCATCCCTGGTTAGGGCCTGCTCCCGAGAAGCGGGAGGGTAGCTTCCTGAGTTGCCCCAACTCACAGGCCCCAGTCAGATCGGGGTGCTGATCCAGCACTCAGCCCTGAGAGGATTAACTGAGCTCTTGCCCTCATGTCTTCCTGGGTTTGGGGGTAAAGCGGGTTCCGTCATTCAGGATCTATAGGAAGAAAGGCTGAGGGAGGTATTGAGAGGCACAGACAGGAAAAGGGAGAACATCCGGGCCAGAGCTAAGAAGACCCCAGCTCGGAGGGTGAGCAGAATCATCCGGGACACACCCAGTAGGGGAGGGGCTCAAGCTCAGCAGGGACTCAGGCTCACTGCCCAGGAGAGCAAACCTGTCAGCTTGAGGCTTCTTGTCTGTGTGTCACTCCAAGGAGATAAGGTCAAACCCAAAGGCATGGCAGACTGTGACCCCAGGACCTTCCCGGCTCTGCCCAACTAGCACCCAAAGGCCTGGCTCTCTTTAGCAGAGGGAGAGGACAGCCCTCTCAGGACCCACCCCAACCTGTACAGAGCAACCTAGGCCCCTGTTCTAAAAGCTGGTCCTTCCCAGCTTTCAAAACCCCATCTCATCTGTTACTTCATTTGTTACTCATGACGAGCTTCTGATTCAAGCAGGGCCTACACTATTCCAGTTTTATTGAGAGGGATAGAGGCATGGGGGTAGGGGGGCAGTGACTCATGCTAGAGGGCGACTGAACTGGGGTCAGAACTCAGACCTCCTTGGGTCCCAGCTCAGAGCTGCTTGTTCTGCACGGACTCCTGATCTGGATCTTACTGTTTCCCCGGCTCTGCTGCTTTGTCAGCAACTATGGGAGGAAGAGGCCACAGCAGTTGTGCGTGCGTGAGTGGGCACGTGTGTGTGTGTGTTCACTGTGTGAGTGCGTGTGTGTGGTGTGTGATGCCTTGCCTGCTGAGGGAACGATGAGGTTCGCAGCTTCTAACTTCGTTTCTCCCCCTTGGACTCTTCAGGTGCCACTCCCGGGAGAGCCAGATTGCCATGGTGTGTCAGGAGGCGGTCTCTCAGGACGAGACCTATGAGGTGAAGCTGAGCGAGGACACAGAGTACTGCAGCGAGCCCAGCCTGATCTCCACAGAGCTGTGAGTGCTGCTGCCCTCGCCACAGGCCAGCCTCTGGGGGTGAAGGGCAGCTCCCTTAGAATCCCTCCTCAGGGCAGGACTTGCGGAAGGGGAGACCAAATATTAGAAAAATGCCTGCAAAGCGTCTGTCACCTCATGAGGGACATGGATGCATGCCCCCACCCACACCCACACACATGTACAGACATGTACACACACACACGTAGACATACATATACACACACGGTCCCTGGGTTAGTTTGGCCTTTCCTCGTGATACAGTGCTTTCAGGAAGACTTCAAAACATTGTCTCATAAACTTTTTTTTTTAACTGAAACCAACTGTCATAAATATAGTTTATAGTGAGACTCAGTACACACACACACAAACACACACATACGCGCACCTATTAGCGAATAAATGTTCATGACACTACTTATAATAAAGCCACCCAGCAGAGGGCACTGTTGGCAAACAGTGGCTGAGATTTTTGTCAGTACTGGAATTTTTAAGAGAAGGGTTTTTTAACTGCAAGTCTAGACCCATTAGAAGGCTGTGACATTTACTTAATTATGGTCACCACTTTTTTTTATATTAATGTTTTGTTGAAAAAGGTACATGAAATACACCCATGTACACAGCCCCAGGTGGACATAATAAGCAAGCCTCCTCATACCTTCTTTTGTCTTACAAAAGCTTGACTTCTCTGGAGTCTTGTCTTACCCATTCCAGCAATGGTGTCCCAGTTCACTTGGTTCCTTTTCCTGCAGCCTCAAAATAAAATCAAACTCCTCTCAGGTCAGGAGCTGAATGGAGAGCCTCTGGCAAGTGAAGAGAGCCCTATTTTTTAAGGGACCTCCAGGGGCTTTGTGAGCTTGGGGATGGGTTTTGAGCTCAGGCACCAGGGTCATGAAATACTTCATCATTTGAACAAACCGTACATTGACCTTGGGCCATTTGGGGTTGTCTTCTTTGCTGGATGGGTCATAATGGGGATTATTTTTCTCAAACTGTGTGTGGTCTGAGGAAGCCTCCCTCACAAGCTTCCCAAGTCCTATGAGGCCTGGTTCTTCACAGTTGCTCTGGTAGAAGCCTTCCTCCTCCCGCTTCAGGGCCCCAGGAAGTTCTGGGGCTGGGAGTTGCGAAGGCCATCCCAGTATACTGTCTGCTCGGGCTGGGCTCTAAGATCCCCAGCGCTGAACTTCACCTCTACACTTTTGTCTAGTGGGCTCCCTGACTCTGACCTCATCAGTCAGTAACTGCTTAGATTCTTCCCACCGTTTTTAGAGGCTGAAGCCTTCTGAGGGCTGGAGTTATCCACTTGAGTTGATGCCCCCACTGGGTTCTTAGTATTGGTACATCTTCCTACTGGTCCCTTCTTGTCAGGCCTAGAAGGCTCGGCAGCCCCAGTCAGCCTCTTCCATGGTCTAGGCATGGTTTCCCTGCAGGGGCTGAAGAGCAGAGGATTCTAGAATTAACCGAGACGTATGAGAGGCAACTCTGTATCTGTCCCCAGAGTCCTCCCCCCAGGGTCCAGAAGGCCAGGCCGTGATAAGCACTTTAAAAGAAAGAATAGCATAATTCAGAATAGCATAGGTTAGAATAAGGCAATAGATAATCGTGTATCCAATGTCACAAAGGTATTATTTGGTGAAATATTTGTTTAATTGTCTACATATGTGTGTGTGTGTGTGTGTGTACTCAGTCTCATAAAATGTATTTCTTCAAAAAGCTTAAGGTGCATTGTTTTAGAAGCTTTCCTAAAAGCACCTTCTAATAAGGAAGGACCAGCCCCTCAGCATTTTGATTTTTAGAGACTCCAAATATTTACATGGCCACATACCCTAGAAATCAGGGAAAACATATGTTTCCATCCATTTTGGCTCTTGTGCTTGGTGCATCCAGACACTCTGCTAGATCGTGACTAAACTGATCTCGGCACTCAAAGGTATTTTACAAACCAGTAATCGTCTCGGGTGAGGGGAAAAAACATGGAGACGTTCACTCACAGAGTGATACAAGCAATGAAGGGGACGGACCTTCAGAGGAGGTAGAGGTCAGAGTGACCGTAACAGACTCCTGGCACAAGATCCAACAGAAGCTGGGTCTTCAAGAGTGGGTACAATTTGGAGAAGAAGAAAATTCAACAAGGAAAACTTACCACGTTGAAAATGAAAGGAAAGGTTTAGAGGTTTTCTGGTCAGAAATTTTCCTGCATGTGTACCAAGGGTCGAAGCCAGTATGCTTGAAGCAGGGAAGGCTGCACATTCTCTGTCCTCAAAGCATATGGAGTCACACCAGGGACAGAGTCCGGGGCCTCATCTGTAGAAGGAAGGGGTTAGAAAGCCTTGGTCTTCTTGGCCTGCAGGCTACTCCCCCTGCAGACTGTGAAAGCAACTTAGCGGATTGCAACTGACATTATTTAGTGAAATAGACTAGACTAAAGTAGAATAGAAACCACCAGAGCACAAGGCATGCAAAAAAGGTTAAGTATGGTTCATGAAGTTGAGTTCTATTAGGTGTGTATGTAAAGGGGTTGATGTCCGGTCTCTTTCTCACGGTGAGTCCCATCCAGAATGACTACTCATCCAGTCACTGGTAGACAGATGCCTCTGAAGGCCCCTTATAGTTCTGCTCTCCATTGACTGTCTGACTGGAGGTTTGTCTGTACGTAGCTGCTGAAGTGTCTTGATGATGAAGGTGGGCAGGCAGGGAGAAATTAGGGACAGGAGGAGAAGTTTGGGCTGAAGTTGGGAGTGGTCATGGTAAAATAGCATCCACATATGGAAACAGAGGAGCCTAGGCTATTCCTGGAAAGACTCCTGTTGGCCTAAAATTTTTTGCCAACTTGCTCACCAACTTTGACTCAAGAGTGCCTCTACTGCCGTAAATCAGAAATGTGAGGCTTCTGAGCCGAGAAGCTGTGGATGGGGAGATGGAAACTTCTGTGACAGGAGGCGCCTGGGGTGCTGGGAGCTGGGGTGGTGAGTTCCTGCTGCCCACTCCCCAAACCTTTATGGAAGCACAAAGCAGGGGTTTCCTTCATTAAGGAAAAAAGCAAACTGGGGCCCCTGGGTGGCTCAGTCATTAAGAGTCTGTGTTCAGCTCAGGTCATGATCCCAGGGTCATGGGATCGAGTCCCATATTGGGCTTCCTGCTCAGCGGGAAGCCTCCTTCTCTCCCCACCCCACCCCCGTTTGTGTTCTGTCTCTCTCTGCCTCTGTCAAATAAATAAATTAAATCTTTAAAAAAAAAAGAAAAAAGAAAAAAGCAAACTGACTTTAGGGGGTGGCACTGTCCTTATGGGGTGGCCCTTCCTGACCCACAAATAAGCCCCAGAGTTCTCTGTTCCAGGCTCTCCTATCAGGATGATGAAAACCGGCAATTAACACCGCCTGAGGACAAGAGAGACATCCGGCAATCTCCAAAGAGGGGTTTCCTCCGCTCTGCCTCACTAGGTAAATATTCACACCTCTCTCTCTCCAGGTGTGACGGGTCAGGGACTCGGGTGATTGGCTGCAACAGCCCCACTGCAGGGGCTGGGAAGATTTCCCGAGCAGTTAGACGGGATTCCCAGGGCAGGGCTTGCGGAGATGGGACATATCCACATACTGTGGGAGGCGAATGGTAGGGAGGAGGTTACTCCAGGCCACTCACACCGCTCCTTGTACCCCCCAGGGTCTGAGCCTCACAGACCTAGATCCCCTTTCCTGGCGCTGATCACAGTTCTTTGGCTGGCTTTGCAGGTCGAAGGGCCTCCTTCCACCTGGAATGTCTGAAGCGACAGAAGAATCAAGGCGGAGACATCTCTCAGAAGACAGTCCTGCCCTTGCATCTGGTTCATCATCAGGTAGCCCAGACTTTCAGAGGCATCACTGGGCAGCACCCAGCAGGCTACACAACCCCCAGGATTATAGCAAATCCCAAGACCCCACTCAGTCCTCCCTGTCTTGGACCACTGATAGTCCTAGCCCCTGGCCCTAACAGCCCCAAAAGAGGGGGCTCGTCCCTGCCAGTGAGAACCTTAACAAGGTCTGTCGTTTCGGGAGGGGGGACACCTAGGAAATACTGGTGAGCAGGAGCTCCTCACATGGTCCAGAAGGATCAGCAGCTCCAGGATTCTGCCTGACCTTTCTTCCTACAACGGCACAGACCTTCCCTCCGCAGACATCAGCACCTACAGTTGCAAGATACCTGGATATCTGGATATAGAAAAGATCAAAGAATCTGCCAGCGACATGATCAGGAAAACAGGTCCAAAGAAATCTGATAGTTGAAATAGCTCTTGGCATGGCCGTCTCCAGCTGAGCCAGTGAAATCCAAGACATCCGTATCTAACATGTTCTCAGTATCTTAGAACTAATGGAAGCCTCAAAGAATCAAAGGCCAGTCCCTTATCTCTAGGAAAATTAGGGTCCAAATTTCCCAAAGTTTTTTCCTCTCCAATTGTATACTCCCTCACCACACACCTATGTATTAGATGATTTTTTTTAATACCCAAAGACACTCAACTGCCAATCAAAGCTTATAATAGGTGTAAGATGGCCAGTGTGGCTCAACTAAGTTGATATTATTTCAGCTCAAAGTATTCACCGTTTTGCTTAGCTTTTGTGGCATTGCCAGAGTACAGGTGATTCCTACTGGGCTTTCTAGAATATTGAGCACAGCCTTATACTTTCCTCAGATCTCCAGGGAACAAGGGACCCTGGGCTGGGGTCCATCAAGAGCTGAGGGCAGAGGAGGCTGACAGGCTGGTTGGGATGGAAGGAGGGGGGACACTGGGTGTGCTCTTTTCTATTTTTAAAGATTTCTAGAAGTTCATTTCACCCATGTGTTCTTATCATGCTGCGGTCAAGAACCTCTTCTTTATTTACACTCCCCCCCCACTTCATGCATTTCCACAACCCATGCTGCAGCATTCCCTGCCCTCTACCTCCCAGCTGGACTCTCCTACCGTCCAGTGCCACCCTCCCGCGGACACCAGCTCAGAGCAGGTCGTTGTGTCCTGCTGACACGAGGCCCAGGCCCCAGCCTCAGGATTTTCAAGCATAGTGGAGGCCTGAGGACACAGTGTATAAATGATATAATCACAGTACAGTGTAAGAGTCGAACAAAAGTAAAATTTTTTTAATTAAAATTTTTTTAAAAATTAAACAAACAAAAAATTTAAAAAACAAAACAAAACAAAAAGCTCAGTTCAGAGACGTGCTGAGTTGAAGATCAGTAGGACATGGTTCATGGCCTGATTAATGGTAAAAATTAAAAATAAGTACAGGTTCTGTCTACATCTTTGTGGCGCACGGTGTCCTTGTCCACAGACCTTATGTCAAGCACACAAGACAGGGAGACAGAGGGCATCAGTGTCCTGGTTTCACAGCCGACGAGGGCAGCATTCTTTCTAGACTACTGATGAGAAACCTAAAAGCCAGAGGATTGGCAGCTGCCGGTGATAGGGCCTGTGCTGAGAAGGGGACGCTCTTGATTCCACTCCATCCCAGCTTTCCGAATTTAGAGAAGAAAGCGATCCCTTCAGACTGGCACGATCACAAAATCTATTTTTGGGTGGCGGAAGCAAACGCAGCGTCTCAGGAAGGCGATGCGCGCTGGCTGCGGGAGGGTGGAACCCGCGGGAGTGGGGGTGGGGGGGTGCAGGAGCTGCTCAGAAAGCAGAGGCCCGCCCTTCCCGGTAACTCGTGCTCTTTGTGTGTCCACAGGCATTGGCAGTGGCGGGCCTGAGCCCCCTCCTCCAGAGAAGCCATTCCCCGAGCACGTTCCCCAGGCCGTGCGCCACGCCCCCAGCCACACCCGGCAGTCAAGGCTGGCCCCCGCAGCCGATCCCCACCCTGCGGCTGGAGGGGGCCGAGTCCAGCGAGAAACTCAACAGCAGCTTCCCGTCCATCCACTGCAGCTCCTGGTCCGGGGAGCCCGCGCCCTGCGGTGGGGGCAGCAGCGCCCTGCGGAGAGCCCGGCCGGTGTCCCTCACTGTGCCCAGCCAGGCTGGGGCCCGGGGCCGGCCGTTCTACGGCAGTGCCAGCAGCCTGGTGGGTGCGGTAAGTGACCCTGCACCGCCGGGCAGGCGGGGGAGGGGAAGGCCCAGGGCAGCCCTGGGGGACTTCGCATGAACAACTGGGACGGGAGTCTCTGGTCCTTTCTCAAGTGGAGTGGATGTCAAGTCTCTTGGCCAGAAAGACTCTCACTCCCAGGAAGGAGGGCATGGTGTGCAGAAAATTGTGATCACACAAGATGCTAGAGGCTTCTGCTTGGGTAGGGCCTGCGCGGAGAGAGAAAGGACTGAGCAGCATATCCCTGTCGCAGGCCAGGAAATGTCCCCCTGGTCTTAGCTCCAGGGTACAGCCAGAGGGGAGCTCTGACTGCTCCAGGTGCAGGGGTGGGCTTGGGCTGTGTTGCACACAGAGAAAATTCAGGATCTGTGGTGCTCCAGCCTGGGACGCATTAGAATAACATGGGACGCTTTGGAAACGTAGAACACAGTAAATGGGTATTTTTTTAATGCCCTTCAATGATCCTAATGCACAGCCAGGGTTGAGAATCACTATTCTAGAACAAGAATGCTTCCAGGTCTTCTATCCTCTGCCCTGGCCAGAGCAGCTGGCCAGTGTGTTCCTGGCACCACATTTTAGGGGACTTCAACAAATTGGAACAAGTCCAAAGGGACACAGCAAAGGGTTGGCAAGGTCCCTAGAAGCGATCTCATATGAGTACTGGTCAAGGGAGTCAGGGAAGCAAACAGGGAGAGAAGATGGCTTAGGAGGCCACAGTAGGTATCTTTTACCGTAAGGTCCCTCATGTCCTGGGCAGGGGATCTCAAGTGCAGGACTAGAGCGACAGATCAACCTGACAATCAGGCAGATTTCAGACTCCATGAGGAAGACCTTTCCAACAGAGCTTTCCCAAAATGAGGAGGGTTTTCCCATAAAGGAGTGAGCCCGCCATCATTGGACGTATGCAAGCAGAGTCAACACCCATCTGGTCATCAGGCTATCATGCAAGCAGTGGAGAGTTAAACCAGATGACTTCTAAGTTCCCCCCTAGCTCCAAAACTCTGTTCTTCACCTGGCCTTGGTTATCCCCAAATTCAGTTGACAAATCCCGAATGAGTGCCGACCAGGTACAGGCACTGTTGTAGGTGTAGAAAACAACTGAGAAACAATTTGTGCTCTCAGGAGCCCGTGCCAGGGTGAGGAGAGACAGATCACAAATAAACATGATGTAGTATGTCCCACAGGGTGGGATCTCTGAAGAAAACTTAAGCAGGACAGGAAATAAAGAGTGATGGGAGCAGGGCAAATGGCCCTGGGAGAAAGGCATTCCAGGCTTCACTATTAATCCCCTGCCCTTCGCTCTGTAGCTGGTTTCCCCAGAGCCAGTCACTAAAGCAGCCACTAGGAAGGAGGGAGCAGCCCTGGGACCTTGGACTGGCCCTTTGGAGCTGGAGCAGAGACAGGTGCAGACACGGTGTTTTGCACACATCCTACGCCAGGATCCTCACCCCCACGAAGGCAGTCAGCCAGCACTGGGCAAGAGGCACAAGTTAACAGTTTCCCCAAAGGAGAGTGAAGATTTCTGGGCAAGAATAATATGGGGGCACTAGGGGTGCCAGAGAGGAGAAAATATAGGGCAGGCCGGGTTCTGCCTCTGCAGCACCCCCTTGGCCACTCTGTGAGCCAAATTTTTCAGGTATTTGACGACAGTTTTTGAGTATCCCAGCAAAACAGCTCTCCTCCAGCCTACACACCCCTGATTCCTTGGACAATGTTCCGGGTCACCTCCCTTCTGGGAGCACCCCTCCCCACCCTACTCCACCCCACCCTCCCACCTGCCCACATGAGCAGGCGTGGGTGCACACACTCCCTTCACGAAGTTCCCAGTCACAGGCCCCTTGCTCCAGCCCACAAGGAAAGAGTTGACTTCCAGGAATAACGTTCCTCTTTGGTTCTTCTTCAATGCCCCCTCTCCCCTCTTCAGGTCTTGATTTCAGAAGGACTGGGGCAGTTTGCTCAAGATCCCAAGTTTATCGAGGTCACAACCCAGGAGCTGGCTGACGCCTGTGACATGACCATAGAGGAGATGGAGAACGCCGCCGACAATATCCTCAGTGGGGGCACCCAGCAGAGCCCCAACGGCACCCTACTACCTTTTGTTAACTGCAGGGACCCAGGGCAGGACAGAGCCGGGGGCCAAGAGGGCGAGAGCTGCGCCGGGGCTCGGGCGTGTCGGAAGAGCGAGGAGGAGCGCCAGGACAGCAGAGCCCACGCCGGCAGCCTGTAGTTGCTAGGGCTGGGGAGACGCTGGGTTTTTTATTTGTTTCAATGTTCCTAATGGGTTCGTTTCAGAAGTGCCTCACTGTTCTCGTGACCTGGAGTTAACCGGAACAGCGTCTTCATTCATTTCGTTGGGACAAGACGCAGAGTTGGGTGGTGTGCAGAGTCCGTTTTCTGGGGGGAAAGAAGGCAGCAACCCCAGTTTGTGTTGTGTCCACAGAGGTAGAGTGGTGAGGAGGAGTGGAAGAATCAGGGAGGGAGAGAAAGAGAAGAGACGTCTGCCCCCCCCCCCCCTCCGGGCATGAAGGAGAACCTCAGCTTCCTGCGGTAGCCCTCACCAAAAGGACCCTATGTCAAACGGGTGTCTTTCAACTTTGCTTGTAAAAAAAAAAAAAAAAATCATTTTGCACATATTCTGTATGAGCCTCACTGTCTCCATAGAGCCAGGGCCCTGTGGATTTGCAGAAGGAAGCAGGGGTGTGACTTCAGCGAGGACCCAGCAGGGAGTGTGAAGAGGAACAGCAAGAGGCAGCGGCAGGAGTTCAGGAACCCGAACGGGAGAGGAGCAGGACCGGCGCGTGGCAGCCTCAAGGCCAAGGCTCCGCGGCCACCCCCGCCCTGTCTGAGTCAGTATCCCAGTACCTGCACAGGCCCACTGAGCTCCAGACCAGCGGCTGGGCCTGCTTCGGGGCGAGGGGGTGCTGGCACCGCCTGCCAGGGAAGGAACAGCCCGCCCTTGACGAGACGAGGTGGTGCTGAGCTTCTGTTGAGCGCTCTTTTGTTTTGCGGTTTGACGTTTTTCTTGCAGTTTTCGTTTTTTGGTTTTTTTGGGGTTTTTTTGTTTGTTTGTTTTGGTTTTATTCTAATTTTGTTTTCCCAGGGGGAGGGGAGGAAGAAGTGTTTACAAAGCTTTGTAGCCACCCACCTTACTGTTTTCACCTTTGCAAATGTAAATCGGGTTTGATTTTACTGTATTATTTAAACGGTTGTGGTTTTCTTTTCCTACGGTAGGTTCAGTGGAGGCGCAGTGGAGGCGCCGTAGGCAAGTTTTACCAGCCATTGTGTATGCGCAATAATGTGTTATAATTTCCGTAGGTAGTAACAAAAATTTTTTTGGTTTGGTTTTATAATTCAAAGGTAATGCACTTGATATGGTCTTGCACATATGGGTGGATTGAGTTGGGTTCTTTTTAATGCGGGGTGTATTTCCGGGTGCCAGAGAGAGGAAGCTTGGATGAGAGAGTCTGAGTGTGTGTGTTTGTGTGTGTGTGGTGGGTTGTCTGGGCACCTGTCATCTGTGTGTATGTACACCTACACAGTACGCCCATGCGTGAATGAGTGTGTAGCTCCCCCTTTCTGGTCTAACTGTGGGGAGATCTGAATCTGGGGCCATATGAAAGCAAAAACAAACCACTGTCTCTGCTTCTGAAATGGGAATCAGTAACTCTTTGCATTTTCTGTCCCACAAGATATGCAAAAACAATGCAATAATATTCATTTTAAAAATACAATTGTGAGATGTGTTGGCATTAAAACTATATTTAAAAAACACACACACAGAGAAATTTAAGGGAAAAACTCAAGAAGGCGTTTTGCTTTGATATATTCCGTGTAATGTTTTATTGCATTGATAATGTTTCTGTTGAAGAAACTGTTATACTTGAATTCAGGTCAGTTTCAGTATTTTACAAATATTTTTTTAAAACTGAATTGCAATTGTGCCAAGCGAATATAATGAATTGAATTAAGTTTGTTTTTGAATTCACTTCTTGTATATTTTGCTGCATGTAAGTAAATCATTTTGTATTTGGAGTGTGACAAGCTTTACCCTTGAACTCTGGAAGTGCTTTTCTATATGTGATTGGGGGAAAGGGAACGGATATTCTTTTAATTTGTACAATGAGCAAAAGCATCACCAGTGTAAATCATTATTCTGCGATCCACAAACAGGTTTGGACATTACTGTTTTGCATATCTTGTGTTCGCTTCTGTTTCCCTCCATTTTTCCAAAACTATATGATAAGTATATTCATACTACGCCTTGCTTTGAGAGACCAGGACATGTCTTATTCCTGTCTTCATTCTATCCACTCTGCTCCAGTTCTCTGATTTGGACTTTGTCTAGGGGCAGTCCTGCACCATGAGCATCAACATCCCCCAAGGGAGAGGTGGCTGGCTTTACTGTCTACTTCCACAAACTTTCCTCAGTGGTTTCCTCAGAAAAGCATACACTGACTGAGAGGATGGAACTAGAGTCGGGCTGCCTGGAGGGCAGGGAATCCTTCCTCTGGCAAGTGCTCTACCCAAACTCAGACAGCAGGGGCCAGAGAACAGCCACCAGGTAAAACCTTTGTCCATCCAAAGGTCAGCTCTGTCTTACTTCCTCTTTTCCTGGCTCTGAAGCAGGATTTCCTCCAGATCTACCCTAGTGTGTGTGGCAGCCATGGAGGGGACCAGGACCAGGGAGGACCCGTTAGAGGGTCACAGTGATAGTGGAACTAGAGACTCTGTGGGAGCATCTCTTAGACCTGGTTACATTTGCCTAGAACATCAGCTTATCACTGCTGTTTCCTTCAGATAGATTCAACAATGATGGTTGAAAAGGAAGTGATTTGGGGAAAACAGGACCCAAACATTCATCCAGGATTTAACCAGGATTTAACCAGACTGGAATGTCTTCCATTCCCGGAGCACTCTCAGCCCTTACATGAGCAACCTAGAAATTAAAGTTGGGGAAAGTCTATTCCCCAGTGAAATCGAGTCTCACTTTCAAGGACTGATCCATAAAAAAGTGGAGAAACATGCCAGATACTCCCAGGTTAACTTACAATCTAGAAGCAGGAGGGTTTCTTCCTGTTTCTCCAAGCCCAACCCATCCAAACCTTCCTGGTTTCTTTTCAGTGCCATGAAGGCATTCTAGAGTATCCTCTGTCCAGTTTCCCAGGATGTGTACCAGTGTGCTGCTAAGATTTTAGTTGTGATGGAGAGGGGAGCCCTTTTGGATTGATTATCTGGTTCTTGTACATTTGGTCCCTGGATAGAAATTTGGACTCTTAACTGATCACACACACACACACACACACCCAACACACTCACACACTCACTCAGTCTTCATGCTGCTTTCTTTTTCCTTTTGGGCTTGTCTTCTGCATCACCAGATCTCATCGGCCAGTGGCATGGGCTACAGCTACCCCTAGAACCCTGCCTGTGTGTGGCCCCTTGCCCTTCACCACTCACACTTACAGGGTCGCTACTTCTTCCTAGACAGCTCTGTCAGAAGACCGGCTAGCCTTGCACCCTACAAGGACAATGTCAGCAGTGACAGGAGCACCTGGCCCTGTGCGGCTGGGAAGGAAAGGAGTTTCAGATAGAAGTTCCCTGTGTAGGGTGATGGGTCTTTCCGGCCTGACCTCATGACTGACTGAAGAGGACTGACATAGGAGACCTGTCATCATGCAGACTGGTAAAATCCATCATGAAATCATGAACCTCCTCCGCAGTGTATTAAGTGACGTCTACCCCCCACCTAGAGCAAAACTTTGCCCATGACTGTCAAATCTTCTGAGAACCCTTGAGTGGCAGGAGAAAGCAGCCAATGGCTGAGGACCAACAGGACTTGAAGAAATGCCGTGTAAGTTCTGGGGGTTGATAAACATGGTATTTATTTGTCCTCTGAATGGCCCAGACTCTTCTATTTCCACTTTGGCTTTCTAATAACTAGTGATGTGCCTGGCTATTTTAAGCAGAGAGATTCTCAGTTGTCTTCTTTCTGCCTGTTTCTAGAAGTTTCTTTTTGGTCTTGAGGCAAAAAGAGGAGAATGTTTTCCTATATTTTGCTTGTTCCATGAATTTTTCTCTGCTCTGCTTCAGAGGCTATTATAGTCCCCCCGTCCCAAACCTTCTGACTCTGACTAGGAGGTCCAAGGACAAAGGAACAAGGCTTCCTTACCATCTTGATCCTGTGACCCTGCTTCCAAACCTCAGGGGCTTGTCTAGAGTGAAGTTATTGGTTTCTCACAGCCATTTTCCTTCCAGAACACCTCCTGATCATTCAGCTGTATATAGTAAGGCAAACACAGGAGAAGGGTACCTTCCAATGCCTAAGAAATAAGAAAACCCTGAAAATGAAGAGTCTGGAAGTCATCAAAAGGGTTTCATCATTCCTAAAGGTCAAGACATGTAACAGGAAGCTAGTTTAACCATACAGAATAACCCTGGTAGTCACATTTTAAGCCTCATCAAACCATAATTATAAATGTTGGTAAGGAGGGTGATGGCATCTCCATCCTGAGGGACCTAGAAAAAATGAAGTATCATTGTCTAAGAGTTAGAAACCGTTTAGCAAAGAGGCCAGAAAAGGGCAATCTGGTTTCAAGAGGACCTATTTAAGCCTCAATTTAGTAAAACACGTACTTGCTGATAAGAGTGCAGGCCAGTTCTATTATTTTAAAGACATGGCTCTGGTCAGGGGAAAATATTGGCACAGAGGGAACTGGAGGGAAAATGCAGACAAAGCAAAGGGCATGTCTTGACTCTTTATGCATCTGTTCCTATTTTGTGGAAATGACCAGTACAGAGGAGAGGCTAATGTCTCAAGCATCAGATTTGGAAAAAGAGAAGAATGAAATTTTAATCATTGTTTTACCAGACAAATTAACCTATCTGGCTAGATGGGGAATAGCTGCCACCCTGTTTTTCCTCTCTGCTAGTGTTCTCTCCTCATATTAGCTGGCAGGCCACCTAAAATCAGCTCCAGCTAGTCAGAAGGCATGATGGGAAGCCTAATGTCGCTCACTGTGAAGCTCTTAGTCACCACATCCAGGCTCCCCATCAGCTCCCTCGGAGGAGACTCAAGGAAAAGAGACAAGGGACCCATGTGTCCTACAACAGATATGGGATCATTATCCCCTTCTCCAAGCCATTCTCTCTACTCCAGCCTCCTGCCTGGCCCCCACTTTCCTTCCTCCCCCAGTCCAGTCAAAAGAACAGACGGTTGAAAGGAGTCCAATGTGCAGATTCTTAAACAGTTTCTTTGTGAAGCTAGTTCTGGTTTTAACTCTATTTTTTTTTAAATTTTGAAACAATGAACCATTGTTTTGTGAAGCCAGATACCAATGTAACAGGTGGTTTCTGCCAGACTCGCACATGGTTGGGAGACAATTGAACATCACACACGCACATACACACTTTCATCCTCATGCACACACAGGCACACACATACACTTCCTTAAGGGACAGGGGCTAGTGCTGGGGTTGAGCTCTGCACAAATGAGGTTTTCCTCC